GAGAAAGAAAGATGAAAGGGAGAGGAGGAGAGAGAGAGGAGAGCGAAGACCGGAGAGAGGATGATACGAAGAGAGAGAGAAGGAGAGAGACGGCACGGAGAGAGAAAGAGAGAGGAGAGAGAGAGAGAGAGCGCCATCAGATCGACGGAAGATGAGAGGATGAGAGAGATGAGACGAGAGAGACTGGAGGAGAGAGAGAAAAGAGGGGAGCGAGAGCAGAGAGGGACGAAGGAGAGAGAGACAGAGAGAGAAGATCCGCGAGCGTGAAATCCGCCTTAATGTTTGCATTATTGGCTTTCGAAAGTATAGAGAAATCGTATGTGATAGCTGATTAAGAGTGAGACTAAGCACAAGAGGCTAAAAATACCATGTATTGAATAGTGCTTAGTTAACATGGTTTAAAGTTCTCTCGTATACTAGTGACTACTATAGAGGTCTAAGAAGATTACTGGATGTACTTACTAGTTATGGTGTATCGGATCCGCGACCACTGCCCGCCGACTGTGACTGAGAGCGAGGAAAAGGGGAGGAAAAGAGACGAGAGCAGAGAGGACGTGAGAGTGAGAAAAAGAGATGTGAAGAAGGCATGGATGCGAGCGAAGAAGAAAGAGCCAAGACGAAGAAAGAAGAAGGAGTGATGAGATGAGTGAGTGAGAGGAAAGACGAAGAGAGAGAGAGAGCGAGAGGCGACGAACGAGGGGAGAAGAGAAGAAGAGGAGAGGAGAGAGAGAGAGAGAGAGAAAGGATGAGAGAGAGACAGAGAGCGAGCAAGATGAGAAAGAGAAGAGAGAGAGAGAAGAGAGAGCGACGGAGAAAGAGAGAGAGAGCGAACTGAAGAGAGGAGAGAGAGGAGGAAGAGAAAGAGAGAGAGAGAGAATGCGAGAGAGCGAGGATGGAGAGCGAGAGAAAAGAAAGGGAGACGAGGCGAGAAAGAAGGAGCGGAAGACGGAGGAGATGAGAACGAGAGGCGCGAGAGCGGTGGGCGCGCGAGAGAGAGGACCAGAGAGCGAGAGATAGAGAAAGAGAGAAACGACTCCCCCTCTCAGCGCCCTCGCCACTCCCAATTCCACCGCTCGCGCCATCTCCGACCTGAGCCTGACCGCGCCGCTCTCCCTCGTGCCCCTCCCTCCCCTCCCTACCCCCTCTCTGCGCCGCCTCCCCGCTGCCGAAGAGAGGAGGAGGATGAAAGAGAGGAGAGCAGAGAGAGACAGAGATGAGACGAGAGAGAGAGAGGCAGAGAGAGGTCGACGGAAGAGCTGAGAGCGAGAGACGAGAGCGAGGAGGGACGGAGAGCGATGAGGGAGGAAAGTAGACAGACAAGGTCAGACAGACAAGGGAGAGAGCTGGAGGTGAGAGAGAGGACAGGATAGAGAGAGAGGAATGAAGAGAGGATGACGAGCGAGAGATGAGGCGCGGAGCAGAGCGAGACGAGAGCGAGAGAAAGAGAGAGAAACGAGAGAGAAGAGAGAGAGAGAGAGAGAGCGAGATAGCGAAGAGAGAGACAGAGAGAGAGACAGAGACGACGAGAGAGAGACAGGAGAGACAGAGAAAGACAGAGGAGGACAGAGAGTGAATTAGGACGAGACGAGAGACATACAGACAAGAAGAGCGAGAGAAAGACGAGGAGAGAGGAGGAAAGAGACTAAGCGAGAAGGAAAGAGAGGAGCGGCGAAGAGAGAAATGAGAGAGGATGAGATGAGAGAGAGGGCGGCGGGGGATCAGGAGAGCATGGAGGAGGAAGAGAATGATGGTAGTGAGCGCCAGGCGCCCGCGGAGAGAAAGACGCCGATGACTGAGAGGAGCGAGCGGAGAGAGCGAGTGACGATGGAGGAGAGAGAGAGTAGAGAGACTGAGAGAGAGTGAGAGAGCGAGGCGCGGGTGGGGAGGTAGAAGGAGAGCCGATATGGCAGCGATGAGAGGACGAGAGAGGCTGAGAGAGAGGAGAGACGAGCGATGGGGGCACCAGAGAGCTAGAAACACAGCTCCGGCGCGCGACCGTGGGAAGGGCGGGAGGAGAGAGGGGGTGGAGAGATGATGAGGAGGAGCAGGCACACATGCGGAAGATTAGGACGATGAGAGAGGCGAGAGCGCGAGGAGTGGAGAGGAGAGAGGAGAAGGAGAGAGGAGAGAGAGAGTACGAGAGTATGTGTAGAGAGAGAGAGAGAGAGAGGAGAGAGCAGAGAGAGACGAGGAGAGAAGAGAAAGAGAAGCAGAAGAGAGAGAGAGAGAGGAGAGAGACAGAGAAGATGAGAGAGCTGAGGTTGTGAAATCGCTTACATGTTTGCATTATTGGCTTTCGCAAATATAAGAAATCTATAGATACTATTAAGAGTAGACTAACATCAAGAGCTAAAAATACATGTATTAATAGTTCTTGTTAACATGTTAAAGTTCTCCTCGTACTAGTGATACTATAGAGGTCTAAGAAGATTACTGGATTGTACTACGAGGTTAGTGTATCGATCGCGACCACTGCCGGCCACTGTGACTGTGCTGCCCCCTACGATAAATGTACGTAGCAGGTTTCTTGGTCTTGGTCTTGGTGATATTAATGGAGCGAAATCCGAGTAAGACTGTGGGCATATGCAGATTATTACTTAGCATAAAAACACATATCCAGTCGGACTAACAACACATGGAACATTTTGCAATTCAATAATTTTATGAATTTTAGGTTCCATTATGTATTGAATCAAATGATAAGGAACAGCTCTATACAGATTACAGCTTCGTAAGGAACACACTGATATGGTTGGAAAGATATATGGACGACACCCCCAATTGATGAATGGTATAATATATATATATATATATATATATATATATATATATATATATATATATATACATATTATATATATATATATAATAGTTGATTACGATTTCGCATAAACGTTAAAAATTCGCCAGCATTCCAGCCGAGTCACCACCATGAGTTATGAACCTCCAGGTTCGCCGACGACAGCGCCATTCGCTTCAGCAGTGATGATACGTTGCCGGCATGTAGGATTGCGACGGCACGACGGGCCGATTCATCACCAGCACATTGGCGTCGCAGTTCACCAGCACGTCTTTCATGAAGTCCATGTACAGTATCGCCAGCCGCAGCGTCTCTATGCGCGAGAGGCGCTTTTCGTAGGAGAACGTCGGCACTTTCTTTCGCAGCGCGTCGAACGCTTCGTTGAGACTGAACATGCGCCGGCGCTCTCTCACGTTGGCCGCCTTCCGCTGGCCGAACGTCGTCACTCGCTTCCGTTTCGGTTTGTTCGGTTTTTTCGTCGTGATGCCGGATTGTTGGCAGTTAATATGGCCGCGAGTGTACGGCGCCACCGTCGATACCATCGGCGCATGCGCAGTAAGTCGTGTCCGCGGGATGCCGGTCGAGAGGAGTTCGTTGCTTCTCACCAGGGGCGGTAGCATCGCGTGAGGGGTGAGTGTGCCGTCCTCTCCTGCGTCGCTCGGCCACCAATCCTGCTGCGACAGCGGCGGCGGCGGCTGTTGACGCTGTTGCAGCTGCTGTTGCTGCTGTTGTTGATGTTGTTGTTGCTGCTGCTGCTGTTGCTGCTGTTGTTGTTGTTGCTGCTGCTGATGCTGCTGTTGAGTCATCGCCAAGCTCGGCTCGTTGATGCTGCTATACATGTTCTCATAGTACGCCCCTGCCTCGCCGACCGCCTCCTGCAGGCTCTGGCCACCGAACGCATACTCATCAGGGTCCATTATGATGTCGGCGGCGGCTGCCGACGTCGCGCTGCACGATTTCGTCCCCAGGGGCGTCACGTCAATGTTGCTCAGGTCCCAGAAGTGTCGCTGGTCGTCGTCGAGCGCAGTGGCTCCATCTGTCGGCGACTGCGAGTCGCCCGTAGCGTCCTGATACGTCGTCGTCTCCGTGCTACTAGAGGAAGTCGCGTAAGAGGAAGAGGCGTCGCCGTCTAGCATAGCGTCGGCGTCCATCTTTGCGGTGGCTGCTTCACCGGCGTCGTGCTTGGTTAGCGAACAGGTTGAGGCGCTCGTGACAATCGCTCGGCTATCTACGCGAGGCAGCTTGCGTCCCCTGAGCCGGCTACTGCGATGTTCAGTAAAAGTTGAAAGGTCGTCTTCTGGCTTTGACAGTTCACGTCTTACCCCGGGTCTCTCTTTCTTTTACACGCTCTCTCTCTCTCTCTCTCTCTCTCTCTCTCTCTGTCTTTCTTTGATTCTCTCGGTGCGTTCTACCCCTCGTTATCTCTTTCTTTGTCTTCTTCTTCTCTCTTTCTTTGTCTCCTTCTCTCTTTTACGCCATCCTTCTATCTCTTTCGTTAAAAATCTATATATTATATAGATGTGTGCAGTAGCCGGTAATTACACAATCACGATTGTTAGTCCCAGCATCCTTCGTATTTTACATTTCAAACATTGTTCTTTCCAATAAAATACTACCAACACCAGTCGGCGTCAGGCCAACCACCAACACCAAGCCAACACCAATGTTCAGGTATCATCTGTATCAAATGGGCCACCATCAGTCTACCGCACTCTCGTAAGATAACAGGGTCACTTCCCTGCATAACACGAAGGCAGGTTGACAGACAAATGCAGAGACACAGCATACTGAACAGCGAAGCTACCTGATCATCCAACAATCACGAGCCGACCATCTGTGACCAAGTATTATTACCATATTTCTACCCCGTAATGTATACATGAATAATATTTCCATCGAATAACGACTTTCTTCACGCAGATAGTCATGCAACCTCGTTTCAACCTCTAGTTTACCACGCGGGTTGCCATTTACTTCACAACCGATAAACTATATAAAGTAGGAATGCAACTAATATACTTAAAAGTCACTGAGTAACATTACGATTTGTTTATAGTTATCTGTGTGCGTTAATTATATTATTAATTATAACGAACGCAATTGTTTTCTAGTACGATAGTACATATAGATCTTGGCGTGTGCATTCTAGAAACAGTGTCAGCTAATATATATTTGTGATACAGTAAACTGCATAATGTCAGAAATGGTGTGAGCATCATTCTCTCTCTCTCTCTCTCTCTCTCTCTCTCTCTCTCTCTCTCTCTCTCTCTCTCTCTCTCCTCTCTTCTCTCTCTCTCTCTCTACTCTCTCTCTCTCTCTCTCTCTTCTCTCTCTCTCTCTCTCTCTCTCTCTCTCTCTCTCTCTCTCTCTCTCTCTCTCTCTACTCTCTCTCTCTCTCTCTCTCTCTCTCTCTCTCTATCTATCCATCTCCCTCTCTTTCTTTCTCTCTACACATAGGGTGAATAATGCGAACTCTATAACTAACTAAATTGCTACCTTGCCTTCGTGATGCATTTGCACGTGTTAACACGCGTGGTCACCGCGCTAAGGACGCTGCGCGCACTATATATAGTAATTGTTGCGATATGTCATTATAATTACTTGTGGCAGCATCTGGTGACTGGGTCTAGCCGCAGTAATGGTGTCATAGCCGCCCATGCCTATACACGCTTCGCGATGATAACGACTCGTTGGCACGTGCCCCCTGGTCCATGCGCGTTAATTTTACACTGCATCCGTATAGTAAACATGTTTGCAACTCGTCTGATTAGTTGTCTTGCGTTTTCGTCGCTCATTTCCGTTGCGCGTCGCGGCATAGTGGTTTCTTTGCATGTACACGTGATGCGCATTTACAGTTAAGTCTCACTGGAGCTTCAAGAACGTAAAGATAATCATGATTGGTGCGAATGAAATAGAGCGATGTAATAGATAGCGTTGCCATAATTAAACGTACTATAGATACTGGGCGCTACTAGATATGAAGTAATATAAATGCAGATAGTGTAACTGGTGAAACTGGCATTGGCGAGTTTGCGTATGAGAGCGAATAAGGGAGTGGCGATAATAGATAAATATATATTGAGCGATAATACCGTGATAGAGAGAGGAAGCGCATGAGAGCGAGAGAGCGAGAGAGCGAGAGAGCGAGAGAGAGATAGAAATAGAGAGAGATAAAGATAGAGAGATGTAATGGATGAGAAAGAGTAGGAAAGAGGGGTGAGAAATAATAAATAAAATTGTTAAAAAAATAGAGAGTGGAAGAACAAAATAAGAAGTTGTGAAAGAGTGTAAAAGGGGAGGTGGGAGGGGGAAAGATGCCGTGGTGTGGATTGGGTGGGTGTGGAGAACCGAAGTACACGAAACGAGGACTTGGTATTACGCAAGTAAATTCAATTGGACGATTGATTAACACTACAATATTACACGCGTCCCGGAAGGATTAATTAGTGAAACAATTACCTGAAGTCACGAAACTGCGTAACATATACAAAAATATACTTGAGAATGAATGAAATTTGCTTCAATATTATATTTCATAATATATTATAATGTTACAAGGATATATGATTGTATGTAAAATCAATAATGTGCTACATTTAATGTATCGACTACGAATAACATAACGTTGTATGACACATTTAAATTGCAATGTCATGACAAGATAATAAATAACTGTAACTCAAACAATGAGATTGTAAATAATAACCACCTGACTGCACATTTCGCATAGATTTTCCTTAAACTTTCATGCACCTATAAATATCCCCAACACACGATCATATTAGCTGACCCAGGCATCTGCAGCTGTCAGCGAACCGAGATGACTGTGTTTCGCATGCGGTTAAATATTGTTCGTTCTAATAAGGACTTCCATGCGGCCTATTGTTAGACAGTTCTAGCATGCCTCCCTGTATAAAGGCAGGTTCCACGTGCTGCTGGTGTTGGGGCGCGCGTGCCGACGACGAATAAGCATTAGAATCGCATCGCGTTAGCAGACCCTTCATGAAGCTGATGTAGGTTATCGCGAGTCGCATCGTGTCGATGCGCGACAGCTTCTTCTTCTCGTAGGAGAACGTCGGCACGAGGTGCTTGAGCGCCGTGAAGGCGTCGTTGACGTAAAACATGCGCTTGCGTTCGCGAACGTTCGCCGCCGTGCGCTGCAGCGGCGTCGACATGCGTCGTCGCTTCGGTTTCGTTTTCCCGCCGCCGCGCAGTGTCGTCGTCTGCCGTTGCTGCGCGGTGCCGAGCGGTGGCGGTGGCATCGAGGTGCCGCCGACGGCCGACGGCTGGCGACGCGTCATCGCGTGATGCGCGATATTATGAGAGGGAATGAGGTTATCGTCGCGGCTGCTGTCTCCCGTCCACCACGCCACCTGGTGCGCTTGCGGCGGCTGCGTCGTACTGCTGTAGGTTGTCGGAGGAAATTGGCCGCGGTCGCCCTCGCTGTATATTTCTGCCATGTAGTCGCCATCTTGTGAGATTTCGCAGTTAGGAACGGCGATTCTGTCTAAACCGCATTCGATTTGCGATACGAGTGGTAGCTGAGCGACATTTTGTTCTCTCGGGCGATCATGATATTCGGCGTTGTCAACGATGGCGTCCTGCGGGGGTTTGTGATGAGCGATATTATTGTCGGTCGTCAGCAGCTCCAGCAGCGAAGCGTCAAAGTTGCTCAGATCCCAGAAGCTGGCATTATCGTCCACCGCCGTCGTCGTCGCTGTTGTTCCTGCCGACGTTGGTGCTGCCGACGACATCGCCGTCGCCGGATATTCCGTGAATGAAGAGGAGTTGCTGCTGACGTTATCGGATCGAGTCGCCACGAGTTCAGGCTCGGTGAAATGCGTAATGTCGCCGGCGTAATACAATTGCGGATGATTCATCATCACGTTCAAGTCGTAGGCTGCTTTGCACGCACTCGGTTATTCACGCTCTCGTATGCTGATTATGAGATCGGTGAAATAAATGACGGAAGCCTAACATATAGTTGGTCCGAGAGCTTCAAGCGCGAATTACTAGCCGTGGCCGCTGTAGGTGCGCTACTATCGGTTGCTTAGAAGATAAATACAATGATCCCCAGGATGTTTCTGCTATAGAGGAATCGCGCGGAGACGTGGCCACGCTACCGATGTCCTCAGTCCACTGATCGGCATTCATCGGGCATCGGGCTATTTATATGGGGCGCTAGATAGTAAAGCAGACGCGACGAAGAGTCTTAGTTATTCTGATGCTCGATAGCTCTCGGGTGGGTATTTAAAAAGCAGTTGTCGCGGCGCGGCCGGAGTCGGCTGTTAGCGACAGGGGTAGTCATCGCTGTGACAATAGCGCGACGCTGGCTTGCCACGCGTCGGCGTTGTCGGCGCGCGAGCAGCAGCCACTAAATTAGCGCGCCATCGTAAAATTACACCGTCGCCTCCCCCCCGTGTGTGCGACACTCGCGACGCTCGCGCACGCGTACTTAATGCGCGCTTACATGCAGACGCATCGTCGGCTGGAAAGACAGGTTAAGCGTCGGTTACGCAACGCTGGCTCGCCCAACGATCACCGCCGCGCACGCACCTATGCGGCGACGGCGCGAGCAGTTTCACAAACATCGTCTGCTGTCGCGCGCGCGCGTGCGCACGTGTCATTGTTTTCATGAATGAAAGCAGACGGGACGACGCGACGCGATGGGCAGAGCGTGAGAGAGACGAACCGCTTACCGTTATTATCACAGGTTTCTTGAGCGAGAGTGAAAACATGGCGGTAATATAGTGGGAAAATAACAGCGTATAAATGCTGCGTTAGTTCGCTCAGCGCATGTAATATAAATTCCCGTTATACAAGTTTGATGATATATAGTTACACGTACTTACCCGTGAGGTTTAGGATCAACCTCGATGTGTACGATTATCACACAACAATTTATGTTACTAATGTTACTATTATGTGAGGGTTGTATTACGTTTTACTCATGTATATCATTCACCTTTTATCAGAAACTTTTTATTCTTGCGTTTCTTTTAAAGGACTATTAAACTACAAACAATAAAGAACGTCGGTTGGCAGTGCCAAATATTGCCCATGTGGTATCACCTAAAATAACGAAAAAACTACTATTTTATCATTATTATCATTATTTTTATTAATATTATTATTGTTTAGATGCGCATAATTGCTAAAATTGGCACGAGATAAATAACTTTTCACAGTCTAATAACAAGTAAATTATATTTGAAGTCAGAGTATCCGTTGTTTGGAGCTTTTCTAAAACAATTAATTAATATTCGCTTCAATGATCAGTCGCTGCTCTGGAATTAGAAACGGGAACCATATGGCATTGCTATACGCACACCGACATACCTATTATCCATCTATCGAAGCTTAACGGCTTTGTCCCGTTTTGTCCGCTTTGTTGTATTAAATAACAGGTCGTACCGTAACGTTTATGTCGCGTTCGAAAGTATAGGGATCGTATTCAAATACATTTGTTTTTCAGCGCACACCGCCTCGTTGAATCGCGTGGCGACGCGTGAAATTATCCCCCGCCTGCAGCCAACAGGCCGTATTAACTACCGCTCTGGAAAACGCATACATTTGCGCACGTGCGTCGGCAGCACGGCGGTCTAGCACCAGCCCACTAGCAAACGCCACACAACAACACGGCTAGATGTGTCTACATATTTGATCCGCCGTCGGGGGGCGAACAGGCGAGGGAGGCGACTGAATAGCGGGTAGGAGGAGATGGCTAGAGGTGGTAAAGCGAGGCGAGAGAGACGCGCAGGTGGGCGGATGGCACGCGTGATGCGCCTCGATGTCACCGGCGAGGTAGTTGTCAACCGATCGTCGGCGACTGTGACCAAGCAAGAAGGTATAGACGACGGCTCGACACTATATAGCGTTACCTGGCCTGTCTAGATAGTAAAAGGAGAAATAGAATATGGATTATACGTGCGATGTGGATAGGGTGGGCGAGTAGGAAAATGGAAGAGAGAGCGCGCAAGAGCGAGAAGGAGGGAGCGAACGAGAGAGAGCGACTGAGAGAGAAAGAGAGAGAGAAAGAGAGAGAAGCGGAGAGAAAATGCGCAAAAGAGACATCTAGAGCGAGAGAAACACATGCTCACGCACACATAAAGACAGAGAGAGACGGCGACATATGGAGAGACAAATAAGCATACAGAGAGTGATAGAGAGAGAAAGGGAAAGAGAGACAAAGACCGCGTGCGCACGAGATAGTGAGGGGGCTAGCGCGGTAGAGCGTAAAATACGAAAGGGAGCGCGAGATCAAAGATTGATAGAGGGAGAGCGAAAGGGATACCTGATCATTAACTAAAACATTATATAATATTGTCGCAGAGAAGAAGTAAGGAATCTGTGTTCAAACATGAATGCTTCTATTTCTATTTCGCCTCACTTTCAACCCAAACTTATTTTTACCCTCGTCTATATAGCTTGTGCGTGGGCGCACGTACACATGCACCCACGCGCACGCGCACGCGCATACCACCGCACACGCAACTTTTATTCTAGTTATATGCTGCGTACTCCCGTGCGTGTGCGTGCAAGTGCGCACGCGCGTGTATCTGCGTGTGGGGGGGGGCGGCATGAGTCAGCGAGGTGCGTCTTAGCGACAGGTCTATGACCGCCGCACCGCGAGTCTTTGTGAGCAACAAGAACAAGCAGCACGCCACGCTGGTGAACGATCAACAACACAAACCCTGCTCCCATCAGAGCAAAGTGCCACCTGTTTTATAGCGCCCAGGTAAGACAACAACGTGTATCGCGCGCCTCAGCTCGCATCGGGAATTCGGCTGCATACAGAATCAGCACATTAGCGTCGGTCGCTTGCTTCAGACGATGCAAACGTGGGCGGTCGGATGGCGTGTAAATATCCAACTAATGAGCAAACGATAGGATCGTACGTACACGTGGTGCGTAACTAACTGTCAGTGCATATTCACGGAGATAAAAGCAACAGATGTGCACTAATTAGCTCGCTAATTACTATTTAATTCATCAAGCTATTGCGGATGCCATCTAGGTCTACTATATAGTGATCTCCCACGTCAGTAACATTTTAGGCGTGCGAAATTTGTATTGTTTACAAATAGGAAACATTTGCGTTATAACGCATATAAGGAAAGTCTTCGCAAAGTAATGAAAAGTAGAACGTAGGTAGAAAGGGAGCCTTAAATAGCACAAAGAGGGAATGGGTGGGCGGGAAGGCAGCGGTAGGAAAAATCATTGTATACGGTACGGAGTATGTGCATGGAATAATATAAGAGCAGTGGAGAAAGACAATGTGAAGAGGGAAAGATATTACAACAACTACAACAACAACAACAACAACAACAACAACAACAACAACAACAACAACAGTAGTAGCAGCAGCAGCAGCAGCAGCTGGGTAAACTGATGCTGCCGCCGTGCCTCTTACCTTATAGTACGCAAGTAGATGTCTGTTGCATAGTTAAATACTATTCCGTGAACATTGTATTTGTCATAATTGAATCAATATTTGTAGTAGTTTAGTGTGAGTTATATTTTACGATCTGTTTATTTTATTAAAGAAATGTTACCAAGCGTCAAACTAAAAAAGACAGATATAGTAGTAATAAATTCACAATTCGCTATGCATAACTAGTGACTATACGCAATATCAACGCGTTTCCTATATGGCTACCACAGAAACATCGCCATGCCATCGTCTGTAGACATAAGACGTAGACAGTCTGCTAGTATGAGAATGTCACGTTTCTCAGAGTCGCAGACGCTGTTGACAACGCGTCTCGTCAGCAGGTCGGCGTCTTCTAGCTGCGCTCTGACGTCACGCGGCGGCGGTGTCGCGAAGACGCCATATTTGTTGATGGTTCTGATGATAAACTCCGGGTGATACGGCACTCGGAAACTCAGCGCTGCTAGACTGCTCAACACGTAGTTGTACCTGCAACCGACGGACAGTTCGTGACAAAATACTTGTCTCTGTATATATATATATATATATATATATCCGCATCTATATATTATCTGGATACAATCTACAATATGTATGGCTAGTACGAAATTTTCAATGTGAAAAAGAATAACATTTCGGTTTATCACGGTTTAAATAAACTGCAACGTACGTCCTAAAGGTTATACAAAAATATATAAAACGTAAATGTACAATAATTATATGCTTAAAGAAGGCCGCAATGTAGCCGCTGCGGAAAGTCCGCGGGGGACATTTGTGCGACACCCGCACTATGGCTCTATTACAAATGTGTTTGTGGGGTCTTTGATACGAGGCGTGGCACCGTGTCGGGCTCAGCGTACCTGTATGTCAACCATTGCTGCCGCGCTTTGTTCGCCTCGGGACAGTGTTGTTTCAGCATTGCCGCCTCGCTCGATATCATCTGCTCGATATTACGGGTTGTGTAGCCGTAGAAACGCGCCTGCCGCCCGTCGTCGTGTGAAACGTGGCCGACGTTGAAAACGTAGTTTACGATTCTGCGGTCCAGTTGGAACGCGAGCTCACCGACAAGATGGCGCATGTTGATAGACGCGCCGTCTGCAATCCGCGGCACCGTCCCTGGATGTCGGGTGGGGACATCTTTACCTGCTGGCATAGGGAATGCAGTTCAAACACGAGGTTAACAGAAACTCTGCTTTGTAATACGTATTTATAAACAATTCACCGCGAAATAATAGCATCAAATAGGTGACATGGAGACTCGCGTGCACACTGTGTGTGTGGTAAAATCGGTGATAATATACTTACAGTAAAGACTCTATCCAGAAAGCATTTGTCAAAGGAACCTTACGTGAGTTTAGGTGGATAGTTTTAATGTTAGATAACGTAGTAGACGTTTACCATGAAAATGTGTGGTGTGCGTATGTGTGCGCGTACGTATATGTGTGTGTGTGTGTGTGTGTGTGTGTGTGTGTGTGTGACACTAAACTCATGATACACTATAAGCTTATCGTATATCATTGTTAATAATAGACCTAACTTCAACCTCATTCATCCTAATAACCTCAACCACAATCACCTATTATCATTATTAGAACATGGTTCTTTCCACACACACACACACACACACACACACACACACACACACACACACACACACACACACACACACACACACACACACACCTTATATGATTATATAACTATAATATTTATATATAATATATTATAGATATATATGGTGAACTGTATATTCTACCTGACTTTCAGCGAATTTGCAAGGAGTATTCCTTTCACATTAAATATTCCTGGCAGTTAGACAGAACTGGTTAGTGACATATATGTGTATTTCCAATCACAATAGCGCTATAATACGTTTACCAGGATAATAATTTGCAGTGCAATTCGTCGGCACTAGATATTACCGCGCTCAGTGGCATCTCTCCCTATTTAGTGTAAAGTTCTTTGAGTTTCACAGCACTGTTAGTTTCTTTTCGGCATGTGGGCGCGAATTAATTTTACATTTCATTAATATAATGACAGCAATGCTTAGAATACAATACCTGTGTAAAACGTCTGCTTTAGTAACACGTTTACTACAATCTTCTGTAACTACATGGTCTCATTACATGAAATGAATGTCGCGTACCCTTCACCGGAGTGGACGTGTACTTAGGGATCCCCCAATGTCAGAGAGGCCTCTTAGGTGGGCGTCGGAAGAGGCATAGAGATTCTGTGCATCTGGGAAAAAATAAATAAACCTGATCAATAACATAACGAAGAATATCAACTATATCTGACGTCTGCGCATTTCGAAAATACGATATCTTCAGATGTTTTTACATTTGAAACTTGATTGAAACGAGATTAATAACGCGCCCGCCAACCACAACCGCACAGTCGCCTAACCGCCTACGTAGGCGCGCGTCATAACGACATCGCTCAGCATATATTTATATATATGATCGGGCATATATATATATAATATATATATATATATATATATATATATATATTATAAGCAGTATGTATTCATCATGTATACTCCTGATATTTTTTTTATATATTTTATATGGGTCTTATAAATTATTCCTCGGTAGGTTTAGCCTCACTGGTTATAATTTATACTCTGGAAGAATTTTTGTACCTTGCAGTCTCCACGTAGTAATTAAGGCTTTTAATTCTGCGTCTCTGTTTTCGAGTTGAATCAATCGTCGTTTTAAGTTTGCATTTTCTGACACGAGTTGCTGCTTGCTTTCGACGTTTCGATGCGCGCCGTTGACAGTTTTTGTTTTGTTCTCATCTTTTCGCTCATCACGCGTAGCTATGCGTATCTGTTGAATAGTCTCGCCAGTTGACTCCAAGTCAGCTGCGCATAATGTAGACCAATGGTCATCGGAGGACATATCTGCGGTGGGTTACACTCGCTGAGCGCCTGCATTGGCATAACCATAACAACGGCCAACGGCAATCATCACAATGACCGAAGGATAGATAATCTTTACACGCTGTCACCGTAACCGATGGCTACAAGCAAGGAATACACAAACAGAGCCATGACACACATAGAAAGAAAGACAGAAATAGAGTTTTACTGTGCCTGGTGTATCCAAGTAATTTGCAATATATTGTTTTACTATTGAAAAAGTAGTGTGAACTTTACCAGATAATTATTTGTAGTAGTTGCGATAGGGTGATATAATATATCGGCATAGAGAGTCGATGATAGCAGTACAATGAATTTATAGGTAACGTTTTTAGGGTTTTAAGGTGAATCGTTTTAGATAACAATCGGTTTGTCGTCTTTACATGACATACTATATTATAGGCGCGTTATGTACAGAGTATGGTAACGAAATAAACGGCAAAGACAAACTCTTGAGTGTTGGCCTAACTATCAACATTGCGGTTTTACCTAACCCATTTTTATATATTCATTGCGGTACTCTATCTATATATTGTCCCATTCGTGGTATCAGAAGTAGATAATAGGGAATTCCCTATTATCTATTTCTGGTGGTATATATATCGAATATATCGATATAATTTGTGATAATTTTGTAGCAACATTTTAAAAGTATGCATCTGCCCGTATATATTAATAATCATTACCGGTATACCAAACGTGGACAATGAATTTATAAGTAACGTTTTTAGGGTTTTAAGGTAAATCGTTTTAGATAACAATCGGTTTGTCGTTTTTACATGACATGCTTTATTAGGCGCTTTATGTACAGAGTATGGTTCCGAAATAAATGACAAAGACAAACCCCAATTAGGCGTTGGCCTATCTACAACATTACCTAACCTATTCTACTTAAATATGCATAGCGGTATCCTATCCATATATCGTCACAGTATTATCAGCTTTTGAAAATAAAAATGAAATTGCCGTGGAAACCATTATGCGAAAGCCTGCCAAAAGAGGGCGCCACTGCCATATTTTCAACAGAGCATAATATAATAATAATATAAATCACCTGATACAACAGGCCTGAATAAGCATTTTATAGATTAGGTAGAAATTACCCAAGAATAGGCAGAAATTACCGAAATATACTAAAAAAATATATATCAGAGAGTTTTGGCGGAGTGGCCATTTACAGGAGAAGACAAATCCCCCTTTTTATACTTTATAGAAAGTCATAGGGGATTCACCTTGCGTACACAATGCAGATTAGTGCACTTTAGTGGCGAATATTACCACTAAAAATGTCAGAATAATGCCTTTTCGAAAGTCTAAATAGTGCGGGAAACTATTGGCGGATGGCTACTGTTGTCTGCCTCCTAGAGAGCGAGTATATGCACAGACAGGCATCTCTGACTCTGAGTAACCTCTAGGAGTAGAGAAGGAGTAGTAGAGAGGGAGTGAGTGAGATGTCGAGAGAGAAACCCAATTTAATATTCCCTCCCATAAGCCTAATTCCAATGTGCCTCGAAATAATAAAAACGGAATGATTAATATAATTTACCTTACATTTACGTTTTCTAGAGCTGAATACTTGAGACAGGCAAGCGTTGATCGGCGTGTTAGCATGCATGTCGCCTTAATAATATAATATATAAATAATATAACAATATAACTATATAACTATATAAGTATATAACTATATAACTAATAATAGCCTATATAAATCAAATCCGGTTTTACCGCTGGCGTTTGCTATTGTTTTTCCCAAAGCACATTAGCCATTTTAGCGTACAATTAAAAAATCTTTAATTGAAACAAAGAAAAAAAGAAAAAAATCTGCTAATTGAATGTCAATAATATTCATGCTATGTTAATGATGTGTTCGCGATATTTTTATGACATGTTATTGTTAATTAATTAGAGTAAGGAGAGGGAGAAGCAGATCAGTGAACATAGAGAACAACCAAAATTAAGGAAAGAGTTGGAGGAAGACCAATCGGCAGAGTGAAAGTAAAGGAGACAGAGGAGATAGTGGAGTGATGGCGGGAAAGGTAGGCTGTATGGAAGTAACAATCGAGGTTGTAAAGATGAATGTAAAGATAATGCATCACTAATGGTTTGGCTATTATTTTGTATATTTACTCTAAATCGCTGTTATCCAGAGCAGCTTAAAAACACTCTGTCTCTTTTAATTGTCAACAGAAAACCGGAATACGCCGAATATCAGAGTACGTAGCCAGCTAGTATGTCAGTGCAATTGCGTACGCGGTGTGCGTAAGTGCGGTAGCAAGTGCATCCGTGCTTGTGAGTTGTGCAGCAACAAAATTCGAAATTGAAAACGAAATTAAAATGAAATGTCAATGTAAGCGAAACAAAATTTAAATAAAATGAAAAACGAAAATGGAAACGAACGTAAAATGAACTTTTAAGGAGGTATTTGCGCGATATGATACTCGACAGGACGCAAAAATACACATGAATACATTTTTAAAATGACTTGTTTGTTTCTTTATTTAAGTTTACCTATAACTACACGCCATATACTACGGAAACAATATCATCTCAACACATATTATATATACATACTAACTATACATCTGCACTTCGCTCTCGCTTCATGTAGCAGCGAAAATGCAATTCTGGTAGTCATATATTCTTAGGAACACTAATGTAGGAGAACGCGTTACAAAATGATATCATTGTAGAAAATTGGGAATGTACTTATGTAACCTAGTATCTACATCGAACACACTCTTAATTATATACACCATATTAGACGATCGTGATTGTCGTGTAGCACCGCATAAGATATAGTACCAACATTAGGCCTATATCACATAATATGTCTAACAGCAACTAATGACTTTTCCCAATGAAATTGTCAGTTATATTCTACGTATTCCTGTTATTATTGTAGGCAATATATGAACATGCATAGACTATTTATGTTTCTATATAATAAATTGTTGGTGAAACAAAGTATTCGCCAACAACAAATTTTAACCACGCCAGCCTGATCCTGAGCTGCGGTATGAACTACCACCGTATCCCCCAAGTCCCCGACCGTAACTACTATATCCTCCCAATCCTCCACCGTAACCACCGTATCCTCCAAGTCCCCTACCGTAACTACTATATCCTCCCAATCCTCCACCGTAACCACCGTATCCACCCAATCCTCCACCGTAGCTTCCATATCCTCCTAAGTTGCCGCCCCTGTAAACCGTGTTGCCATATAGTCCCCTGCCCGCCCCGTAAGAAGACACGCCAAGTCTTCCCGGATATCCAGTTCGCTGGTAGGTCGGCTGTACGGCGACAACCTCGGTGTCTGCATCCGTGCTGTTCGTGATCGTCTGTACTCTTGGATACCCAGCACCAGTGGATTGCACTCCAGAAACGTAATTAACAGGTTGGTATGTACGCGACGCATCTGAAATTGCAAACCGATCCACGTTGATGCACGTCATGTACGTCACGTTGTTTTCTAACCACGAGATCAGTACAAATTCACTAAAATTGAATCGTCGTTGGGGTACGTGCTACGTCCAAGAAGTTTGGTGCGGCTTGTATAAGAGAACTCGTGCACGAAACCGCTAATTTTTGGCGTTGATATATTGTTTAGCATTCAAAACATTGTACAATACAGTGTAACTTACATGGATAGCTGCCATAGTTGCCATAGCTACCGTAGCCGCCTAAGCCTCCATAGCCGCCATAACCGCCTAGGCCTCCGTAGCCGCCATAACCGCCTAGGCCTCCGTAGCTGCTATAACTGCCATAACCGCCTAATCCTCCGTAACCACCGTAGCCTCCGTAACCGCCATAGCCGCCATAACCGCCTAGACCGCCATATCCACTGCTATAGGAGGAGTAACCTCCGTAGCCTCCGTAGCCACCAAGTCCTCCGTATAGGGAACCATAGCGGCCTCCATACCCTCCATAGCGGCCTCCAAATCCTCGGTTCCTACGACCCCCGTAAGACCCTGCGAATATAAGAACATAGGACGTTCACATCCGTAATTCAAGAAAATCGGCATATGCATGGTTAGTTAAAATATTACGACTTCTCGTTAAACATTTTCTTGTTTTTCGCCCCGACTTTTTGTAAGCGATATATATCTGTATTTTCTCTGTTCACGGTTGCTATATCCTTTGAGCTTTATATTATATATATATATATATATAAATAATATATATATATTATCAAGGAGTAGATAAAGGAACCCCCCCTCCGGGAACGCCGTCAGGAGTAGATAAAGGGTTCCCTTTATCTACTCCTGATATATAATATATATATATATATATATATATATATATATATATATATATCGTTAGGACGAATTCTATCAGGGAATCGCAACAACAAAAGGTATTATTATTTTGTAATTGCATATTAGTGCTTGCAGAATTGCTTGTATTTTCTAATTATGTATAACTTCGTATGTGTGTTCAATCTGTTTATTGGTCGGTTATTGCTCGCATGGATTTGTATAGATTTAATATTCTAGCTATTTTGCAGAGTTTAGACCGTTTTTGACTACAATCTATATTTGTGATTACACTATAATTTTTATGAAAATTTGTCTGCTAAGCCTCATCCAATAAATTAACCCCATCGTCAACGTCGTCGTCGTTAATGCCGTTCCTAATTCGACTACAATCACTATTTTTTACATTGCTGCCCTCGATATCGTAGCTACGCCAATAAACTTACTTCTACCAGAACTTCTACTTCTGAATCCACGTGCCGAGACGATGGCTAACAGCGACAGCAGTAGCAGAAGAACCGTTGTTAATCTCATTTTGAATAGCCTATAATATGAGAGTAGAACATTAGTATTAATAAGAATATAATATAGAACAGTGCACACACGTCTTCACGCGAATTATTTATTATGTCTTTACATATCTGTTGCGTTCAAATAAAAACTAGTCTCGCATATTCACACCCTTACACACTAGCATCCATACAATCTCTACGCGCGCACACAGATATATAAGCAATTAATATAATATTCATCGCACGCATTCGTATTCACCTATGAATCTAATAATGTACCACGTATTTCTTCACTTCAATAAGAAGTATATCATAAGAACTAACCTTTTAGTCCTGTCTTGGTACGGATGGTGTGGAATCGACCTATTGCAATCTACCTCTCCGGGGGAACCTACGTTATCCCCAATTGCCTCTTGTTATATAAGGCACCGGGTGATCACATGTTACACTACGTCACGAACCATTGTTGCCATAATGGAGAGGCGTTGTAGTTTCTACTGGCCCTGAGACCGAGACCAGGAGGCTAGTAATGTCACGGCCACTCCTTTCCCATCGCGTCTCCGCGGTTGCATCGTGAGCAACGTGACTCGTTCTATACGCGTTTAGAATCACAATTAGGCGCGTTCACACACAAGAAAAACCGCGATGCTAATCGCGATGAAATACCGAGATAATTGTGTCGTTGTTCACACAGGCGAACAATCGCGCTAATAGTGAGTATTATTGCGTTCACACTTGTAATAATCTCGGTATTTCGATCGCGATGCAAAAACCGGGATTTGCATCCCGCTTATTCGCGCCAGTGTGAACGCGCCTAATAACTGATGTATGAAGTCGCTTTATGCATTCATACATGTATGCATTCTCTATCGTCTATGTATGTATGCACACAGCGACCTGTCCTACCCTTAATATATATATACGCTCTGCAACTTAATACATCGAGCACTCTACCGACAGTATAGACTCAAGCATCCAGACTTAATATATATATATATCGAGCGAGCTAGTAATCCCGCAGTCGCCAGCATAGATTCATCAAGCTTATCTAGATAAAGAAGTATATCCCTCGCACGCCATAGATTCAAATTTGCCCTATTCGACCAAAATAACAATCGACTGTAAGACTCACACTGCCCTGTATATTGTCACGTCAATCTCAAACGGTATTCAGGACAGCGAATGGCGAACGAATGGAGACTTGTGTCATACATGCTGACAATTTCCGAGCATCCACTCTTCGTTCACAAATGCAGGGCACTGTGTATCCGGACACATACGGGCGCATGCGATTACATCCGATTCGCTCTTCAATGCGAAGCTTATACGTGGGAACATACGTGTGTCACTGAAGGTGATGACGGTAGAAATGATAAGGAGATAAGGAAAACGAAGACGATAAGGAGTTAGCATCTTGGTTTTGGTGTGATTACAAGCCGTTGTACGTGCCATCTACTTCCGTTTTCCCACTGCGCACTCTTCACGTATTACCCACTTTCGACATCTTATATATATATATATATATGCGGGTCTATAGCCACTAATAAATCCCACCACGGCACTTGCGGATGTTTTTGCGGGTTCCGTCTCTCTCGATACCTTATTATCCGTCGATACTAGCACAGCTTCCGACTCGACTCGTGCTTATCGTCACACGATACGATCAAGAGCGTATAAAGAAGGATATAATTCTTTATACGCTCTTGATACGATGCGTATAATGGGGTTACTCTAATACTCTAAAGGATGCACATAATACGTGACGGAAACAGACAAACAACCTCGTAGATCGTAAGCCAACTGTGACCCGTTAGATATTATATATATATTCAATCTGGTCCGTGAAAGTCCCGGCTGGTTAAATAATAGAAAACATTTGCCGTGAATTCAGTTAATTTTTTCTTTTCTTTTCTCTTTCAACGGTCGCGCGCAGGTCAGTGGAATTCATATGAATTGGAGAGACACGCTTCTGAGAGTATATCTACGACATACCCGTCATAAGCGATATATATATACATATATATATACGAAAGAGTTTAGTGGGAAACCAGTGACATAATATAGTGAGTTACATAGTAAGTCACATAACAACGACTAACGTCGAATGTCTGAACAAATCTCCCTATTTTAAATGACGTGGCCACTTGCACGCAACAGAACAAGCATATCGTGTCATAAAAAAGCGCGAGTGGGCTTGCCGCGGGGGTGACTGACCCACGCGTTAAACATGGCAACTATAAAAGGCGCCAATTTTACGATACTAGTTGGTTTCATCGCGTGCCATCAGAGGTCGCTCGCCGTACCTACGTAATCGGGCTCATACCTGCGATTTGCAACCATTGTAAGCGTCCATGCACCGTGTTATTGTGTTTTTCCACAAGGTTTTTTTTCTCACGAGTTTCTGTTCACAGCCCAATTACCTTCGTCATCACGTTGGGTCATTACAGCGACAAACGCAGCTGGCGCAATGGCGCCTGTGTCCATTCTCTGGGAAAACTCTTAGAGTCAAACTAATTAATTCGCAATGCGACGATGTTTTTTTTACGTCAAAGTTGAAATGTTGAAGAAAAAAAGCCGTTATTCGGGTATAATGAAGGGCGCAGTATTATAGATTCCTTAAGTAGAAATTGCAGCTATCAGCAAAAGATTTCGTAGAATTAATTAAGGTTATATTACTATATATACGTACTGAGGCATTTATGTGCGCAGTATTATGCGCGTAGTTGAATTAGTAATTTATCTCTCAAAACTGAGGCAAAGTATCAGGATTGTAGCGATTTCGTTCATTAACTGGTTAATTCCAACAGCTGTGAGCAAGATTGTTAACCATACGAAACGCGGAATGAGAAAAGATCCGTATCTAATTCGAATTACGCGAATGCATCATTAGTAAAATTATATAGCGCTTAAGAGTTTAACAGCTTTCAGGGAAAGAGTCTATATCTGCTACAAAGCACGGCCGTTTTAATAGGTATACGAAAGCAAATTTAATGTAATGAACAAAAAGCCTATAGAAGGAGTTTTAAAATCGTTTATTAAATTGTTTTAAGGTATTAGCCGAATTGCCGGCTGACCGAAGATTATATTTTAATGCGAGATTGTAAACATTTTAATTACGATGGATAGCACCACGTCCCCGCTTCCCTCGTCATTGTAATGGAGAGTGGATGACATAATGGCTCGCAGCGTGATCAATATCCCACTTTACTCCGATAACTAATAGCTTAAATCGACTTCAAGCGCCGAAGAGCACAGCTCTTGACACAACTCTATTCGAATTATTATTTAAGCATGGTATAAATGTGGAAGATACGATGTGTGTGTATGTGTGTGTGTGTGTGTGTGTGTGTGTGTGTGTGTGTGTG